ACTAGAAACCCACCGACAATTCTGAGTTGTAATTCTCCCCTCTTAGAGGGCTCATTGACGCTAGGCTGGAAATATGACCGAAGACCCATGTCAGGGCCTGTGCCCCAAGTGGTTCATGTCACCACTAGGCGAACAACAAGGGAATTTATGTCTTGCATTGCCCTCTGCAACTGGGCTGCAGTGGGCTGAAGCAAAGCTCACTGAAGTCACTGGACATCTCACCAACAATCTCACTTTCAGTAGGCATTGGACCAAGTTCTGAACTTAGGCGGTATGGTCTGCAATTTCTTTTGATTTTTTCCTTGATCAAAGCCATTTTTATTACTTAAAGTATGTCTGTATTTATGATTTGTATATAAACATGTTATACTTCTGTTACTGGTTCTGAAGTACAGGATAGACTACAACTGCTGGAGATATTACTGCACTAATATGTTTTATCTAGCATTGCTTACAAAGGCTGCTGTTTCACAGTCACAGTAATTGGTGTCTTATGCTCTTTGTTGCCTGAAAACCACCTGAATATTGATCCCTGAGGTACCATTGCTTTCAACTAAAATGGTGTCCCAGGTTTTTACTTTCAGGAGATAAAAATGAAATACACCCAGGCCTTGAAGTTCACAAGTTGTTAGACCACAGATGTTCCTCCAAACAAATCCACAGACCCACGCTTGCACTCAGGGAGCAACTGCGTAATTAACTGCCCTAGGAGGGACCCCTTCATGCAAGCCTTATTCCACCAGCCACCCCATCCTGGGCGCCTGGCACTACGCAGCCCATCCTCCTCCCACTTTGCCTTTCCTCATCTTGGGGAGGAGTGAGCGTTCAGCCTGGAAATACTTTCTCCTGGCATGTGGAACGGGTCTTCTCCCTCCTTGTCTCTCCTGCAACTTGTGCTGAATACTTTATTCCTACTACCCAGCTTGGCTCTTTCGAGTGATTCCTTTTGCACACTTTGGCCCTTATCTTGTAAGTAAAAGCTTTTATTAGTTTACTGTGAGATTCTGGTGAGAGGTCTCTTTTGGAGCTAGGCACTCTTAGTTGGGTGTTATCAGTAAGCCCAGACATAAATCATTTGTGACTCTGAGTTACAGAAGGTCTGTAAGCACGAGGGGTTTCCTTCTCATCACAGGCACGATTTCAAGAGGTTGCAGAATTACCCAAGTTTTTGTTCTTCCACTAACTAGTTGAGAATATTTTCCTTAAAGTGTTCACTACACAGTAGTGTTCAGGAAGAGCCAAATTCTGCTCACAGCTGCCTAAGCGTAAATCCATACCAACCTTTCTGGTTTTATTTCAGTACATTGGATTAATGTGTCAAAACATAAAACACAGACTTCGACCCTGGCAGACTGACCTTATCACCAGTGCAACTTTCCTGACTTTAATAGTGAATCCCATAACAGCATTTTCAGCATCTGTGGTGGTTGTCACAGGTCCCATAATGCTTGGTAATTATTTATATAAAGTTTGAGTTCCCCATAGCATGTGTGAATGCAACAGAATTACAGCTTTATTTAAAATAATTAGGAAAAAAAGGGTTCTGGTAGTGGACAGAAAAATTTGAAAGTGTGACCCCAAGGCTCAAACCAGGGGAAATAAACAGGACCCAATTAGCTGTGTTTATATCTTGTGGCTCATAGGTTGGAACAGCTGGAGCATTGTTGAGGTGTCACTACATTAGGGTTGACTGGCTCAGTGTTTAAGTACATGTGAGTAGGTTAAATGTGATGTCTAAATATCATGCGTGCATGTTTTAGGAAGAAAAAAAAAAGTAAGAAAAAGTGTAAGTTGGTTTTGGTCTTATCCTCAATTTCTTTAATGCCAGTTACCGCATTTGACTCCAGTGGAAAACCTCAGAGGAAAAGCCCAATTGGTATATAGTAGGGCCATAGGACCTGTCTAAATGCATGTCATCTCCTGAAGCAAATGGCACTGTGACAGCCATTTTCCAGCGTGATGATAAATGTTCCCTAATTTACCACTG